GAACTCGAAAAAGCTGTGGAAACACTCGCTTGTCGGCTCGTGTTGCCACGGCAGTTCTCGTTCTGTCAAACTTCCACTCGTGGCTTTATAACTCGATAGAAACACGGTACATGTTTTCTATTTCTAAACTAATATATTTTGAAACTGGCTTCCTGTTTTCTTTAACTCCCTAGTTATTACAAGTATCCAGTCCCCATTCTCTCTCTTTTAAGTAGTTTATACACTAATACGCTGAATAGGAGAATAAAGCTTGTTGCTGTGGTTGCTGCTGTTGTATTCTTTATCCTCCAACAGCGTTCCTTGGCTAGAGCTAGCACTATAGGGCCCGGTACGTCATAACAATATTTACGACAACAGACGATTTTCGTTTTCTCGATATTGAACTGGAACTACCTTACATCTGAGGCTAATTCGGAGAGCCTTTTCAAATGCAAATAAATCCCTCCATTGCAAGCTTGTTCCAGCCCAATACTGAGAATACGAATATGGCCTATTAGATGTAAGTGTTTTAAAGAGTGGGCGGCTTTCGTAGATATCGATCTGTATCTCCAACATGTTAACAGAAATATATCACTTCACTCTACAATTTGCACTCCACTTCTATTTTTCTTTATTGCAGTTCAATTCAGCTATACTTTGCTCTGATTACTAAGATATTTAACTGCTTTTCTCCATTGCAAAAGCGTTATACAAGCTGAAACTGTTTCTAGATTACTCGGTACATGGAAGGCGAATTTAGTATTGGGGCACTTGGCAAACATACACGCTTCTGTGAAAGAAAAAGACTATAAATAACAAGCAATTCTTCCACAAGCAAATATAACTGGGAAACGATATAAATACTGAATACCCAGTAGGTTGTTTGAACAAATTTCGTCTATTGTAGGCTAGGAAATCAAACAGCGTCCGCCATGAAACTTTTACTTGTCGTAGCCTTGGTTCTGGGAATCATGAAGTGTCAGGAAGGTTAGTTCACGGTACTTAAAGGGTGTTTTAGTAGACGACT